GGGCATACCCACAATGCACCAGGGCAGCAAAACTGGAGTCCTCGAGCCCTTTAGGGCGGGCTGGGTGGGCAGGCGCTGCGGAAGGAGGGTGACGGGGGGCGCCGGGTGGCGAAGGGGGCGAAGAAGGTGGCGGCGAAGGTGGAGGGGTCTGGGGGCTGGCGCAGCAGCAGGGCCTGCAGGAAGTCCCCCAGCAGCGCGGGCAGCTCCGGGTGGCGCCGCACGTAGGCGGCATGCGAGGCCTGCAGCTCCTCCTGCGCGGGCACATCCATCAGCCCCACACCGGCCTGCCCCCTCTCCCCCACCATGCCCCTGCGGCTGGCTCTGGGGTGGGCCCACTTGCACTCACCTTCCTGTCCAGGAACTGTGAGCGGAGCTGCATGTCGTCCTCCCATGCCAGGGGCTGCTTCCCCCAGGCCAGGGGGGCTTCGGTGGGCTCTGGGGGCCAGAGGTGGATCAGGCAGGCTGCTATACCCCCCCTCCCCAGCTGCCTCCAGGAAAGGGGACTCGCTGCTGGCAATATGGAGTCTAGGACGTGTGGGGCTCACCCTGCTCCGGCAGCGGCGGCTTGTCCAACAGCAGGGCAGTGGTGGGGCAGCCCACCTGGACGCGCCGAGTCAGATGCCTGGGGGGTGAGGGGTTAATTCCTCTGGGACCCCCCACCCCTGGGGGCACAGCAGGCCCCAGCTGCCGGGGCTCCGTGCAGGCGGGGGAGGGGGCACATACCCGTCAGGAAAGAAGCTGTCCTGCCAGGTCAGGGGCACAGCGGCGCCCACGGTGCGCTCCAGCACGAAGACCTCGGCTTCCTCCGCGCCCACCTGCTGCCGCTGCATGCCCAGCACGCTCTGGGGGGGCATCGGGCAGGGCAGTGCTGGGGTCCGGGGCCAGGCTAGGCCCCCGGTGCCCCCCAATCCCACCCCCGCCGGTGCCCGGACTCACATAGGCAGCCGGGCAGAAGCGGCCCTCAGGATCCAGGGCCAGGAAGATGGTGCTGGGGGGCACGGCGCAGCGCCGAGCCAGCACGCGCCCCAGCAGCACGGCCGCGCCCTCCAACACCAACCCCTGCGCGGCCGGCAGCTCCTGCACCCAGTGCTGGCTCTGCTGCTCCTGCGGGGGGGAGGGCAGAGCTGAGCGGGGACCCCAGTGCTCCTTGCTCTGGGGCAGCACCAGGGGTCCCCTCACCTCTCCCTCCACCGTGGTGCAGCTGATGAGGATCTTGCCCCCGCGCTGCACCAGCTGCGTCGTCTTGTCCAGGGGGTGCCCGGGCAGCTGTGGGGGGACAGCGGGTGAGGGGCCGGGCAGAGCCGCGGGGGGGCAGGGGGTCTCCCCCACCCACGTGCTTCTGGGCACTGCAACAGGGTCAGGAAGGAGGTGCGGGGCCAGCTCGGGCCTGGTGCAGGATGGGAAATGCCACATGGGGGGCACTCACCTTCACGTACTCGTGCTGGTGCTGCTCCAGGGTCTCCAGCTTCTTGGACACGAAGGCTGGGGGGGGGGGACAGGGCCACAGTCAGCTTGCCTGTGCCGGGGGCAGTAAGCAGGGGCGCCGGGCTGGGGTACCCCCACCCAACTGCCCGGCCCCTTGCTCCTGGCCCGGGGGCAGAGTGGACCCTCTGGGGCTGTGGGGGGCAGGAAGGAGGGAAACTCCACAGCTGGGGTCTGGGGGGCCCGGGGCTGGTGCATGACGGGAATTAGGGGGCACAAGGCCAGCGCATCCTAGGAAGTGCCACAGCCACCAGATCTAGGGGGCCTGGGGCTAGTGCATGCTGGGAACTGGGGGTTACAGAGCTGGTGCATGCTGGGAAATCCCGCCACCACCACAGTGCGGGCCTGCGGGATGGCCATAGGGGCACAACCAGCCCTTTGGGGGAGCCCAGGGGCAAGGGGCTTCTCTGACGGGAGCAGCCCCCCGGCCCGAGGCGCGGGTCCCGCGAGCAACCCACCGTGCAGGGAGGTGCCGCACGGCGCGCCGTCCACGCAGGCCCGGCTCGTGGCCCGCACCAGCACGCAGG